CCTGTCCCTGGTGCTGAACTTACATTCACACTGACTATCCTCCCAGTGACTTCACACTGGTCCTGTCCCTGAACTTCCATTCACACTGACTATCCTCCTAGTGACTTCGACCTGGTCCTGTCCCTGACCTTACATTCACACTGACTATCCAACTAGTGACTTCACACTAGTCCTGTCTCTGGTGCTGAACTTACATTCACACTGACTATCCTCCAAGTAACTTCACACTGGTCCTGTCCCTTATGCTTAACATACGTTCACACTGACTATCCTCCCAGTGACTTCACACTGGTCCTGTCCCTGAACTTACATTCACACTGACTAGCCTCCTAGTGACTTCACACTGGTCCTGTCCCTGAACTTCCATTCACACTGACTATCCTCCTAGTGACTTCACACTGGTCCTGTCCCTGGTGCTGAACTTACATTCACACTGACTATCCTCCTATTGATTTCATACTGGTCCTGTCCCTGATCTTACATTCACACTGACTATCCTCCTAGTGACTTCACACTGGCCCTGTCCCTAAAACTTCCATTTACACTGACTATCCTCCTAGTGACTTTTACACTGGTCCTGTAACTAGTGCTGAACTTACATTCACACTGACTATCGTCCTAGTGACTTCACACTGGTCCTGTCCCTGAACTTACATTCACACTGACTATCCTCCTAACTGACTTCACACTGGTCCTGTCTCTGAACTTACATTCACACTGACTCTCCTCCTAGTGACTTCACACTGGTCCTGTCCCTGAACTTACATTCACACTGACTATCCTCCTAGTGACTTCACACTGGTCCTGTCCCTGAACTTACATTCACACTGACTATCCTCCTAGTGACTTCACACTGGTCCTGTCCCTGAACTTCCATTCACACTGACTATCCTCCTAGTGATTTCACACTGGTCCTGTCCCTGATCTTACATTCACACTGACTATCCTCCTAGTGACTTCACACTGGTCCTGTCCCTGGTGCTGAACTTCCATTTACACTGACTATCCTCCTAGTGATTTCACACTGGTCCTGTCACTGAACTTACATTCACACTGACTATCCTCCTAGTGACTTCACACTGGTCCTGTCCCTGATGCTGAACTTACACTGACTATCCTCCTAGTGACTTCACACTGGTCCTGTCCCTGAACTTACATTCACACTGACTATCCTCCTAGTTACTTCGACACTGGTCCTGTCCCTGGTGCTGAACTTACATTCACACTGACTATTCTCCTAGTGACTTCACACTGGTCCTGTCCCTGGTGCTGAACTTACATTCACACTGACTCTCCGCCTAGTGACTTCACACTGGTCCTATACATATACATGTATATATATATGTATATGTGTACATATGTGTATATATATATATACAGCGATCCAGCGTCTACAGCGATGCTTTTACTAATATGCACTAATATGTATTAAAGGTTTTATATGTTTATTATGATTTTACAAAGCTTGTGCTTCTATGTAAAGTGTCATTTCATCCTAAGGCAGCAAGGGGAACATAGTTGTAGCTTATTATTGTCATTTTGAGTGTCTCTTGAAATTAACTCTTGATACATAAATTTTCATCCTTTTTCTGTAGGGTGTGCAATCCTGTTGAAGCATGTGACAACTGCTGCCTGGGATGTTGAAGGGTCCAACTTAAATGAGACAATTGAAGCTGTAAGAGATTTCTTAATAGATATAGATATTATGGATAATATGGCGTTTTAAAACATGTACCTCTCACGTGAATAACCTATTTAAAAGCATCACTATTTCAAATTTGATTGGTATTTTTAGTCGTAAAACTTTTTGTATGACACAGTTTGGTGCTATCTGTATCATGGTATATCATGCTCTGTTTTGTATACCTGGCATATCATTTACACATAATTACACATCAATATCAACAATTATACAAGCCAGAACAATACAACACTATAACACAAAAATTACATTTACACATAATTACACATCAATATCAACAAATATACAAGCCAGAACAATACAGCACTACAACACAAAAAAACATTACATATACACATAATTACACATTAATATTAACACTTATACAAGCCAGAACAATACAGCACTATAACACAAAAAAATACATTTACACATAATTACACATCAATATCAACAATTATACAAGCCAGAACAATACAGCACTATAACACAAAAAACATGACATCTACACATAATTACACATTAATATTAACAATTATACAAGCCAGAACAATACAGCACCATAACACAAAAAATTACACCAACACATAATTTTACATCAATATCAACAATTATACAAACCAGAATACAGCACTATAACACAAAAAAAAACAATACATTTACACATAAATACACCTCAATATTAACAATTATACAAGCCAGAACAATACAGCACTATAACACAAAAAACTTACATTTACACATAATTACACATCAATATCAACAATTATACAAGCCAGAACAATACAGCACTATAACACAAAAAAACATTACATATACACATAATTACACATCAATATCAACAAGTATACAAACAAGAATACAGCACTAAAACACAAAAAATTACATTTACACATAATTACACATCAATATCAACAATTATACAAGCCAGAACAATACAGCACTATAACACACAAAAATTACACCAACACATAATTACATATGAACATCAACAATTATACAGAACAGAATACAGCACTATAACACAAAAAAATACATTTACACATAATTACACCTCAATATCAACATTTATACAAGCCAGAACAATACAGCACTATAACACAAGAAAACATTACATATACACATCATTACACATCAATATCAACAATTATACAAAACAGATTACAGCACCACAACACTAGCAGTTTGAAAGAGGGCAAAAGTCTGATAGTAAAAAAAATGTGTAAAATGCACGTCAGTGTACAAAACAATTTTCCTGCGTGTAAATTGACCTGCTGTAAACATGCATTCTGATCGTACGCCAGCCCTCCAGGTAACCTACAATCTTAATGTTTTTGACTCACGCCAAAGCAGGCAGTTTTTACACATAGGAAATATTTGACTTATGCAGTTTTGGTACACTCACGTACATACACTTACGTTTTTGTACCATCAGGATTTTACCCACCTGTAAATCCGGTCTAAGTCTTGCACACTTTGTTCACAGAACAAGAAAACAGCCAGCTCGGCTTTCAAGGCAATCGAAAATATCCTTAACATGTACGACACCCTGATGATGCCGACTGATGGGACTAGGGGTGTCTCACTCGACATGTCAATGCTTCATGCCAAGATCCAGAGGGAACCTTGTCAAGGTGGCCAGAAGAAAGTGTTCACAGTCAACGACACTCTGTTTGTACTACCAGCATTCAACACCCTTGACAACAGTTGTGAGGATAGCTTTGGAGTGGAGGTGAGCACTTTGATATATAAATACCCTGTAAATATGTTCATTACCTTAAGTTTGCATTTAGCACTTTTTTTGCTCAGTTTTCTTCAATCAAAGCACATACATTGATCGAAAAGTCAAGGACCAGGTATCTGTCACTATGGTAACTGGTGTTGTAGGAAACAACCTGTGGTGTTGGGTTACATTATGGTGCAAGTTGCAGGGCAGAGTTGGAGAGGCTAATCACCACATATATGAAAGTTTTTAGTAAGCTTAAACACTGAGCAGTAGTTTGTTGGGCTATTTTTTAGGCTAGACCATACAAGTGGAGGCAAACATTATTCATTTGCTTTGCAAATGTTACCTTTCTAGTCAATCTGCTTCTTCTAGTTTGAAGAAGCAGATTGCAAATATGTCATAAAGGGAATGATATATTTGCAAATTCTGAAGTATTCCTCACTACTCTTGAAAAGAACATTGCACGTAATCTATGCATACTCCTCATTTGCATATATGGGAAGCTTACATGCTCTTGTAACCAGAGGAATATGTTTTCTTCTCAATTCTGTCTGCAGTTAATCAACTCTGACTTCAACCCTTTCCGGTACTCGGAAAACTCCCCTGATGTTGGGTCGGAGGTGGCGGGGCTGACCGTGTGGCGGGGAAGGGACAGACGCCCGGTGCACCGCCTCCCAGAACCTGTGGACATGATCATCCCCAGGGACAAACAGCGCACGACAAGTACCGTGTTCAAGTACACGGGCCAGCTCAGAAGCAGTGACGATATCATTGTGAGTTCTCTTACTCAATGTCGGTTTCTGTATACCCAGTTACTATTATTTAACACACCAGTTAATAGGCACAATTTGCTACTCAGGCAACACCATTTCGATGTCTTAGGTGTACCCAATGAGACTGTTTATTCCATGTATATGCAAGGCTATAAGTTAAAACCATTGGACAAAAGAGTGACCATTAGCCACCAGGGCCAATAGTTACAGCATTGCCACTGTAGAATCTACTTGGAGATTATCGGTCTGACACTATGATTGCCTGTGTGCAGGTTGTCAAGTTCCGGCCCCAGAGAACCAGGACTGCACTCACAATCCTACTTAACATCAACGGCACCAGCCAACCAGAGCAAGACCTGCCACGCGTGCAACTGGTGTGGCAGAGAGCATCACAACCGACTGCTGACAGCTTTGAAGCTGCCAAATGGACAGCTCTGCTACCTGTTCCACAGGACCAGCTGTATACACTACAGCTGCCGCACACGTACAACAATACAAACCTGACGTCCAACCCGTACTCCTGGCTTCTGCCTACGGAAGCTCTGAATGTTACGGAGTTCGACATACAAAATGAGACGACTTTTTACCTAGGTACGTCCTTATTTACATGCACAGTAACAGGGAAATCAGAGATAGCAGACTTCACCCCCTTACCCATACTCATTTGCCGGGCCCTCCCAATCCCAAGGGCGAAGATACATGTAGCAGCATTGAGGATGTATCAATGGCAATGCTGCATTTTGTATGTTGGGACTCACAAAAAAATGCCAGACAAATACACAGACACACAGATAGACAGACACACACACACACAGGTACACAGAAGGGAAAGATCTGAGCGAAATATTTGCAAGATGACAGGGAAGTTATCCTGACTAAATCACGCTCCTATATAGTGGCCTGCCCGACTGATTGGCACCCTAGAGGCATGGGGGCCCCAACAAGGTAAGATACATGTAGTGTGGAACAGGCTAACAATCATGGAAATCGAGGGTATGAAAAGGATGTAAGTTATACATATAGTGTAAAACAGGTAGCTAAATTTATACATGTAGTGTAAGATACATGTCGTGTAGAACAGGCTAACAATCATGGAAATCAAAGGTAAGAAGAGGATGTAAGTTATACAGATCGTGTAAAACAGGTGGCTAAAGTTAGACATGTAGCGTTAAGATACATGTAGTGTAAAACAGGTAGCTAAAGTTATACATGTAGTGTAGTGTAAGATACATGTAGTGTAAAACAGGCTAACAATCATGGAAATCAAGGGTAAGAAAAGGATGTAAGTTATACATATAGTGTAAAACAGGTAGCTAAAGTTATACATGTAGTGTAGTGTAAGATACATGTAGTGTAAAACAGGCTAACAATCATGGAAATCAAGGGTAAGAAGAGGATGTAAGTTATACATATAGTGTAAAACAGGTAGCTAAAGTTATACATGTAGTGTAGTGTAAGATACATGTAGTGTAAAACAGGCTAACAATCATGGAAATCAAGAGTAAGAAGAGGATGTAAGTTATACATATAGTGTAAAACAGGTAGCTTAAGTTATACATGTAGTGTAGTGTAAGATACATGTGGTGTAAAACAGGCTAACAATCATGGAAATCAAGGGTAAGAAGAGAATGTAAGTTATACCAAGATCTTAGGTGTCTTAGCACAATGAATAATTTCTTTTCCTCCAGGTGTGAAGTATGCTGGAGAGGACACCAGTGTCACAGTAAAAGTGTCTATATTAGAAAGTGCATGTGTCTACTTCGGAGAAGACTCCTCCCACCTGTGGGAAGATGATGGATGCAAGGTAAGTTTTGAAGATAACAGATTAAGATCATCAACATTTACCAATGAAGCATTGATATTTCTTTTAAATCATTGTTTTTTTTTTACATGACTGAGTAATGTAGACAGGAAAATAGACAAAGTCTTAAGTGCCTATAATACAATATGTCAAGGAAAAAATCGCATCTATAACGTAACACCTTCAAAACATGTACAAAAGTCTGAATGTCTGATCCTTTTGCAACGTGGAAACAGCTGGGCCCACTTTCCAACACCACCCACCTCCACTGCCGCTGTGACCACCTGACCAAGTTTGCCGGGTTTGTCCCGCCCAATCCGATCTACCTCCCGCCGAGTGGAAACTTCAATTTCAAAGAGAACCCGATAGGACTCATCGCGGTCCTAACTGTGTTCGGTCTGTTTGTGCTCGGATGTCTGATGGCAAGAAAGGCAGACAGACGGGACCTGACAAAGGTTATTAATAAGTATAAATTATGCATGTTATATTACAGTCCAACCCATAGTACAAGTGACCACCAAGATAATGTGACTCGCCACTTTTTAATTGTCCATTTTTTCATTGACACCAGGAATAAGAATCCTGTCTATACATAGTGACCACCCCTGTCCACATAGACCAGATTTTCTCAGTCCTCAGAGCAGTCTCCTTGAGCAGTTTTTACTCTATCCTTGTAACCCTGCCAGTGAAACAATTTTTTTTATTTAACAAAAACTATATTTTTTATCATAATATGACTGTCAAATTCTGATACGCGCTGATACCATGGCGAAAATATAGTTATTGGTCATTGATTGAATAGATATCAGAATATGATTACACCTGAGTGCAGATATGCAGAAAGTATATTTTAGCCCTTTGGTAACTTTTGTATATTTTCTAATCTAACCATGTAGTTGGGAGTGACCACACCAACCGGTCACACGTTGAACCCTGACCCTGACTGTCGCTACATAATCACTGTCTACACTGGCTTTCGCCTGGACGCAGGCACAACTGCACAGGTACGGTTAACTTTTGTTATCAATTAGGCAAGGTATAGTATTGACGATGTCCAAGAGACTTACAGAATTTTACAGGTCATGGAATCCCAGATGTAACGAGCATGGAAAGTTTGAAAAGTTGTATAAGCTTTTTATGATTTCGAACATCTACATTTACATGTTGTTACTCCGTGAAGGAGGTCAGGACCTCCGGACGGAGTGTTGTGAAGAGCTGTTTTTTTTTTGTGTTCGCAGTCAAAACACCGGTTTCTCTTTGTGTAATCGGCACGCAATTTTATACGCCGTCTGCTGGCATGCTCGCGTTGATGCACGAATGTGTATTTTTGCCGTTGCTGTTTTCGCGGTCAATGTAATATTGCAGATGCACCCCTACAATTATGAGGCATATTGGAATGGTCCAGAAAAACCTGTTGTTTGGAATAGTGGTGGGGGGTGGAACTTCATGCAGATATGGTGAGGGGCCGATAAGTGATTCAAGATGTTTTTGCCCGTGCTTAAGAGATGGTAAGTTTTTTGGAAGATGTTCGCAGCCAAAACGCATTCTTCCGTACGTCGCATTTCTGTGTAATTTCGCATGTGGTGTGCCATAATGTCCACGGTGATGCACGTCTTTTTATTTTTACCGTATAGCTGTTTTGATATTGGAGTAAATGCTTATTTTTTAAACATCCCCATGTCGTTGAAATGTTTTCGTCCGAGTATGTGACCGGTAGTAAGTCGCGGTCAGGCTGATGGGAACGGAAATGTGGGGTGGTCAGAGGTCAACATTACGAAATGTAAATACTGATGACGTAATCCTATCGATTTCAAACTGGTTGGCTGTGGTGACCTATTGGCGGCGTATATTTAGTCACGTAGCAACTGGCCGGTCGTCCTAGCAACAAGCATGCTGGCCGCTCCATAGAGCAGCTCTCTGTAAACATGGCCAATATTTTTGGGCAACCCATCAATGTGTTCTGCCTCGTGGTCGGATGTGGTCTGGGGCTGGTAAACTGCACATAGATCGGATAATTGTATGATTTGCTAGTTGTAAGCGCGTCTTGTAGTAGGAGCCGGTATAGGAAGAAGTAGCCTGTGTTACACAATCATGCTTTCGGCCGGAGGTTAATGACCCCCACCCCGGCAACTTCGGCGCCAGGAGCGCGATTAGTCAGGCTAAGGAAGAAGCACGCTCGAAAACACGTTTTATGGGTGTGACGCGCCATTATTGTATTAACCGTACCTGTTCTGTTGTCTTTCTAGTAGTAGACATAAGCGGTAACTGGTGATATGGCTGTTTTATATTATGACCAGTTGCGGATGATTGATACAGGAAATGCGGGCTGTGATGCAAGTGTTCATTGATGTGCAACTGTTACTAATTGCAGGGACTGCGCTAATGCCGACTGGTAGTGGCTTGGCCAGTCGCGCTGTCCTGATACACCGCGAATGTTGGGCATTATGCGAGTGTTCCCTGTAGACAGTCCTGGAGTCTTTTTTTTTCGCACATTCCAGGAGCCAAACCAAAATACGTGATGTACTGGGAGTCACTGATACCGCAACTGTAGGCCATTATGCAATTATTAACTGTTAGGCCACTGATTATTTGCTTATGATAAGTATTCCTTATGTAAGTGGTCTAACATGAACGGTATCAGTTCAGGATTGTGTTGCACACTTTACAGATAATTGTCGCCAATGGCTACTTCTCTTTGTTGCAATATATAAAACTTCACGGAGGGTTGTCACCTATGGCTTCTTGTTTTTAGTTGAGAAGGGTTATATGTAGGTACACCATATATAAGGGTTGGCTTTTGGTTTTTGACTTAATTTTCAGTCTATGTGAATTACGGTACTGACTCAGATGAATGTTTGTCCTAGGTCTCCATCACGATGTTCGGCTTCCGTGATGAGAGCCAGCCTCTGGCCCTGCAGGACGCCCGCCGTCAGCTGTTCCAGGGCGGCAGTGTGGACTCCTTCCTGGTGTCTTCTGAGGAGCCCCTGGGACCGCTCACACACATCCATGTGTGGCACGACAACACCGGCCCCAGCCCAGCATGGTGAGCAGTGTCCACATTTAGTCTTTTGAATTGTCGGAATTCAAAACACAACGAACAATTACACTAGTCTTTTAGTTCTTGTATATATATCCTGGCAGTGTGACTGTCAGCATCTGAACAGAGTGTCATAATGATTCAGAATTATGAACTGTTACTGAATCATTAGAGGAGCCTTAATGTTTCTGAATGACTTCTCAGTAAAGCAACTTAACTATCACAGCTGTAAATGCAACAAACGTCAAAAACTGACGTTTCTAAGAATTCTTCTTACTGATCTTTACTAATGATGATAGTGTTGACAGTTATTGAAAAGTTACTAACTGGAAGATGGGACGAGTCGTCTCTCAGACGGAGGAAGAGAAGTTAAGAAGCACATTGTTTACACATTCTTTCTTATCATTGCAGGTACCTGAGTAAGGTGGTGATTCAACATCTGAGCTCAGGACAGCTGGACTACTTCATCTGCAACAAGTATGTCTGAGAATTTACATAAACTTGCATGTCAAAGTACTTCTACAAGAAATACTGTGTTTAAAATTTGAGGGAAAATTTCATGACCATTTCTGACACAGAGTCATCTCAAAATCAGTTGTATAGGATTTGAGTTGAGTTAAGCGACGGTCACAACTCGCCGTGCGTGCTTTTTGTCCGTACGTTTTTGTCGTGGCTACGTCTGCTACGTTTTTTCTGCAAACGTAAGGTGGCCGGCCGAGGGAGTACGTCAGTCGCACGGTTGCGCAAGGTGTACGTATGTGGTCTGCACGACACGCCTGGCCGTCAGCGGTTGAGTGCATCGTACGTTGCGCAAGTGGTAAGTGAGTTGTACGTGCTTACAACGCACGATCTCTGTGCGATTGCTACGTTGCCGCGTACAGGCCGTACCTACACGTGCGGCGTACGCACGGTTTCCTTACTCACTCGCACGTTGTAAGTGCGTGCACCTCCTGTTAACTTCACCATCACTAGCCGCCCTGGTGTCTTCCGCGGCCCGTTTCTTTGGGTCTTGTCTGGTAGTCTTCTTCTGAGCCTTCCTGGGCATCTTGGAGACGAGTTGGCAGTCGCCCGTCAAGTTGTCTTTATATACTGTAGAGATCAGGTGCGTTGCACGTGCGTTGCACGTGCGGAGCACCTGGTATGGTGCACGTGTGTTCTGCGTGGTCATTGAGCAGGTCAACTGGGAAGTGAGGAGTAACATGCACTTAAAGTTCTACGGCGTGTCTGCGTGCTCCGAAATCCGTAGGATTCCGTACGGAGGTGGTACTCACCACGCACGGATGCCGCACGATTGCCCACGTTTTTGCACGTAGACAGCACGCAGAAGCACGTACGGCGAGTTGTGACCGTCGCTTAAAGTGATGGCGCACACTTGATTTTTCAGCACAAAAACATCAGTCCAAATGTTGTCATTAAGTCTGTCGCAAACAGTACTGTCGAGTACTGTTAATTTATGTATTTTTGCATCCATTAATAATTTTGCGGCAAGAGTCAGGAAACAAGGCTTTCTCGATGTCAAAAGTTCACGGTGGAAACAATACTGTAGCACAAAACCACAATATTCGCCATGTACAATACGTTAAATGATTCTCCTGTTTGTACCATTCCCACAGATGGCTAGCTCTAGATGAAGATGATGGAAGAATCGACCGTATGGTTTTTGTCGCCTCCCCAGAGGAGATGACAGCCATCTCCAACCTGATCAGCGAAAGGGCTGCAAAGTAAGATCACAATAAGTCATCCATTTTCCATTCCAGCTTTATTGCATGAAAATTATCATGGATACAATGTATGAAAAATAAAAAAAATGTTCTAGCAACATGTCTGAAATATGTTTAAAGTTAAAACTTTTGGTCCAACACAAAAAAAATTCTCTCACCTAGATCTTTCGACCAGTCACTCTGGTCTTCCTCAGTAGAATGTCCCAGTGAAGCTTGAAGCAAGGCTTCTTTGAAGTGTGACGTCAACACTTGGTCAAAGGTATCTGGCAGACAATGTCGGCCCCCGTCGCGGTTCAATGAAGGGTGATGGGTCCTGATGTATATGGCTTCCTTCACCCCTTTCAAGAAATAGTCTGAAATATGTTTATCTGTATTGTAAATTACTACATATTACATGTAAACTGTGATGATAGTATGACCATTTGTCATTTTTATCAGAAAGCAATTATGACTAGTCCACTGAGCACTGAAGCTAGGTGTCGCGTAAAACAATCCGGGCATACAGACTGTACCAAACTAAAGTGTTATTCTGTGAAATGGTTTACTCATTATCTACGCAAAACAATCAGACTTTGCTGAACATTACTCAAATCTTATACTGTTCACAAATTGACAGGGACTTCCACGATGGACACCTGTTCTTCTCCGTAGTTCGTCGTCCCGCCCGTAGCGGCTTCACCCGTGCCCAGCGCCTGGCGTGCTGCATGTCCACGGTGTACAGCACCATGATGGCCAACATCATGTTCTTTGGGCAGGGGGACAACTTCGACCCCCCGCAGCCAGTCCGCATCATGGGGGTGCAAATAGACCTTCCAATCTCCCTACCAGAGGTTTGTTGGGTTGGTGATAAAAACGGTCCGGTCCAGTCCAACCATAACCTGTCTAGACTGGACTGCTTTTTCCACCAACCCCAAATTGTCTGTTGCACACTTTTAGATCTACATTGTAGAGGGTCTGCATGGGGAATTTAGGCAACGCTTTGCATGCAGTAAATTTAGAAGAGTTGGCAACGCTTAAAGGTAAATTCAGGAAGGCCAGCTATGCTTACCGATAGATCAATCAAGTGTTGTTGTTTAGTACGCTTTGGGGAATACTAATCTCATTGCATTGTTCTTTGGCATTCATGTGTTAGGCCACACCAATTTAATTTGTTGTTTGTCATATTCGCCCTGTGCATTTTTTTCGGATTTGCTCCGAAAAAATTGTTCTAAGTCAACTGCAAAATGCTCAATGAAAGACCTATTTTGGCCCCAGCGGTTGAAGAAAGTCTTATCTTCCTGGTTGTTAAAGTTTGTCAATGTAACAGTGCAAGTTCGGTTCATTAAAAGTCTATTGTTTAATCTATTGTTTAATTGTAAACCAGCCTGATATTGTAACATTTTCTGCTATCATGGGGTGCATTGGCCTGTTTTTTTTTTAATTTCGCCCTGTCATTTCATATTTTTTTCTGAAAAAATCCGAGAAACAACAAGTCTGAAGACACTGGATGCATTTGTCATTTGGGAGAAAATTCTGACTACATCATACTGGAGAATTTTTCAATAATAATGAATGATTAATTTGGGACAACATTCTATGTGGAATTAAAGTAACAAAAGTCATCATTAATTCTGTTTCTCAGATCATGATCGCGATACAGAGTGTGATCATCGTGGTTCCCATCAACGCCCTGATCGTACTGCTCTACAGGAGTGCTGCACCCAAAGCAAGCAGCAAACCAGTGACAAAACATGCCAATACAAAAGGTTAGCAAGGAGATTTTATAATTATGATTATCATAATGATATATTGACTCACTCTGGGAGGTGGATCCTGTTATGTATCTAATAGTATCTATTTATCATTCATAAGTTTTAGTATCTAGTCAAATATTTCTTTTTTCTTAAATGTATAAGAGGTGACAAGAATATAATTTGTATACAACTTTTGAGTCTGCCGTCATTTAGGCCATGTTGATTTGATTATATGGATCACATCCAATTGGAACCCAAAAACTGATGCGAGCGTGCAGATAAAAAAAGTTTAGCGAAAGTTGCTTTCATTATGAAATCTACGTGGTTTTGAAGGTTGAACAAATGACACAGAGTATGGTTTGGCAAATAATCTAGTCTTTAAATTAATTTCTTTACATTTTCGTTTGATTTTGGAATTCTATGACATTGGTATCGTTTTCCAATGTTTTTTCAACTGTTTATTTACAGTATGGTTGAAACATTTTGTTTATAAACAGACGAAGATTCATGCGCGCGTGGATGTCATTCATATAATCGAATCAACATGGCCTTACTATTATAATAATAATATTGTTGTTGTCTTTTTGTGTAACATTGTCTTCAATTTGATAATTAAAAAAAAGAATTGCACTGCTTTTCTAGAGTTATGAATATAACAGCTTCTCTGGTTACTAAACCAATTTTGGTTGCTGAGTCTCGTATATCCTCTCTGGATGTAATATAAGAGCAGAAAAAAAGAGACTTGCCAGTCAAAATAGCTTTGGCAAGTACATTGTACTACTTCTAGCTTACCTGTGTATATGATCAATTATGTAAATTGATTTTTAAGACAAAAATGCTAATTAACATTGCAGATAATGATCTGAGATAAAAGTTGCTGTTGCAGTTATACAAAGTCATGTAATGTTCGCATGCTGACAGTGACAAAATATTCTACGACCTTCAACATGAAGAGCTTTAACTTTGTTTTCAACTTTTCCTTAAACTTGTCCTTGCAGATGTCAAAGCCAAAGATGGTCAAAAAGGAACTTCAGGATGTCGTCTGCCCTGGTGGGCAGCAACTGTGGGTAAGAAAGCATTGCTTTCAGCTGTATAGGCCTCTACACACCACCGATCATTCATGCAGCCATCCATCCATCCATCCATCCATCCATCCATTCAAGGCATCCATTCACCCACCCATCCATTCATCCATACATTAACACACACACACACACACACACATGCTCGTTCATCCATCCATCCATTCACAAACTCACCCACTCATCCATCCATCCATATATGCATCCATTCCTAAAACCATCCATTTGTTCATACATACATACACCCACCTACCCATCCACCCATCCATCCATTCCTAAACCCATTCATCCATCCATCCATGCATCCATTCTTAAACCCATTCATTCATTTGTTCATCCATCCATACATATATACATACACCCACCTACCCATCTATCCATCCATCCATGCATCCATTCCTAAACCCACCCACTCATCCACCCATCCATATATGCATCCATTCCTAAACCCATCCATTTGTTCATCCATCCATCCATACATACATACACCCACCTACCCATCCACCCATCCATCCATGCATCCATTCCTAAATCCATTCATTCATCCATCCATCCATCCATCCATTCTTACACACATGTACGCATACACCCACGCACCTACCCATCCATAAATCCATCCCTCTATCCATCTATTCCTAAACCAATTCATTCATTCATACATACATACATACATACATACATACATACATACACTCATCCATCTGTCAATCCATCCATCCGTCCATCCATCCATCCATTCCTAAACCTATTTATTCATTCATAATATACATAGTACATACATACACACACCATCTATCCATCTATCCATCCATCCATCCATCCATCCGTCCATCCATCCATCCATCCATCCATCCATTCCTAAACCTATTTATTCATTCATAATATACATAGCACATACATACACACACCATCTATTCATCCATCCATCCATCCATCCATCCATCCATCCATTCCTAACCTAAACCTATTTATTCATTCTGACATTCATAATATACATAGTACATACATACACACACCATCTATCCATCCAGCCAGCCAGCCAGCCATCCATCCATCCATTCCTAAACCTATTTATTCATTCATAATATACATAGTACATACATACACACACCATCTATCCATCTATCCATCCATCCATCCATCCAGCCATCCATCCATCCATCCATCCATCCATCCATCCATCCATTCCTAAACCTATTTATTCATTCATAATATACATAGCACATACATACACACACCATCTATCCATCCATCCATCCATCCATCCATTCCTAAGCCTATTTATTCATTCATAATATACATAGCACATACATACACACACCATCTATCCATCCATCCATCCATTAATCACTCTATCCACCCATTCACAAATTCCTTCATTGTTTCAGCGGGCCTGCTGGTGTTCACTGTCAGCTTTGTCTCCGCGTTCTTCACCGTCGTGTACGCACAGACCTTCGGGCGTGAGAAGGCTGAGGCGTGGTTTACTGCCTTCATCACGTCCTTCCTGACAGACCTGATCCTGATCCAGCCAGTCAAGGTGCTGACTCTCGCTGCCATCTTGGTCTTACTAATCCGGGTAAGGATTTTTCTCATGCAAGTTCATCTATGTTGGTAGTAACAGTAGTAAAATGTTGAACTTTATTCCTACACAAAGAGTATAGAGAGATCTAATTTTCAACAACCACCGTTGCCTTCATCAGGAATTAAAAGTGTGCAAGTTTCAAGTTGTAATAAGTTAATTTAGTAGGCTTGACATGTATAGAACATATATGTTATTGATGCTCTGTGAAAAAAAAACTTTTTCTTGAAATTTACATACTTTGTCACTTTTTTTATTTTCATTTTGCAAATTCACTCCATTGTTTTGCTGGAAAATATTCAATGACAAAGGCCATTAAAGTATTTATGTGGCCTTTAAAGTAATTGTTATTGACATGTTTGTGTTTGTCTCAGAAACCAACAACAGACGACGACCCACCGCCAACAGAAGTGGCAGGTGATGAAGAGTACCTGCAGGTGGTGGCTGAACAGGTGAGCACGGAAACTTGAAAATTAACAAGGTGGTTTTGTGCATGATTAGAGTTTTAGACTCAAAATCTAAAGATTCTGGGTTCAAATCCCAAGCAGGCCCCAATGTTTTGATCTTGGAAAGGGTTACCTTACACCTGTTTTCTCACTTGGATCAGGTCAAAATACGTACTTAGTTTCGGTTAGGGACTGTTCTCTTGGATGTTTACGGAGAGCTACACCTATGGCATGTTGGATAACTCATTGCACTTAAGAAATTAGGCCTGGGGTTCATTCTGGTGTAAACAGATCAAACTTTACAATCCAGTTTTACAATTGGCTTGTACCTAGGCCTATAAACTGCACAAAACTGGACGTGTTACACCTTATGCGTTATACCGGCTATGCAAAACAATCAATCAATCTATCAATTAAAAAAATAACATTTTATTTATAAAAAAATATTTATAAACGAGAACTTGTAGGCATAATATTTTCTTAGCATTTATGACAGAACAAATTGAAATTAATAAGTTATTTAATAAACGCACATAATTACACACTTATCACCAAGTAATAACAAAGTTTGACATTGAAAGAAGCATTGAGACCCCCAAATGCACTGTGACTTAAAACAGCTTGCAGACAGTAAAATGCATGCAGACTCTACAGAGGATTTAAGGGACTTATTGTGTACAAATTTATCCGTTGACAGTCCGCTGCTGCTGTGGCAGCCACAGCCCCCCTGGCTGGTGAAACCCTGACCAGAGACAGAGCCCAGCGTGTCAGGAGGAAGAGGTGCCGCCACATCCTGCGGGAGATGGTGGTGTACGGCCTGTTCCTGTCTGTTCTCATGCTCATGTCCTACACTGAGAGGAGCAACCTGGCCTTCTACATGAACAACTCCATCAAGAGTGCTCTGGAAGGCACATTCTCAACGGTGGGTAAAATATTCCCACTGGTATCTGGGTGCCATTTCCTCTGTAACGGGGGTTCCTTACACCCGCTGGCCCGAAGAAAAATCGTCCGGAGATGCTTTAGTACCTACTCTCCGTTTGGCAATGATGTGACAGTCACATAATGACTGGGCTAACGAGTGCAAGGAGTTATTCAGGATTTAAAAAATCTATGACAAGAGAATCATGATGACATCCTCGTTGTAACACACCAGATTTGCAAGTATGTGGCACAGCAGCAATTAGCTACAATGTAATATTACTCCGAATGACTTGCTTCTCTTAACTGTAAACATTGTTTAAAGCTAATAATTAGTAGTGACGATGCCACTACTGTATTTGCTGGCAGCATATGTTCCACTCCATAGTTCATGACGGTGAAAACGAGACTTTGAATACCTCAATAATTGGTTGATAACGCTCAGGTACTTGAAGGCAAGACTTATTTTTTTGTTCCTTTCTGAGATGGTGAGGTAGTTAGTAGTTGATACAATTGCACCCAGTTTGTTAGTGATTTGTACAATTCATGCATATGTGGTCTGGTGGCTTTCTATTTTCCCCAGATATCTGACCCTGCGTCCTACTGGACATGGCTGGAGCAGGACGTCCTGCCTGCTGTTCACAGCCCAGCCTGGTACAACGGGAGGCCTTGTGAGGAAAACCTGACTCTGTCTGAACACCTCACACACGCCATCTCCCCCTTACAACTACGACAAATCCGCATCACACAAGGTTAGGGCATTTCTGCACACTACCTTCTAGTCATTTCCTTCTGATTTAAATTGTATTATACATAATTTGTGATTCAATAGCATGATTTAGAAATATAGATAATTTGTATTAGAACTATGTTCGGGAGTAAACAATTCTACTTATTTCTTAATTAAGATGACAGTCATTCTTTCCATTTTCTTAAAAATGACTTTATTTGTAGTTAGGGTGCATATAGTCTGAAGCTACTGGCGTACCTTTAAAACAGGTCACAGCAAGTCAGAAAAACATTACATGCATTACATGAGTTACACAATGGATTTGTCATGTTTACATCAAACTAGAATTGTTGTACAGTCAAACCTGTCCAAGAAGGCCGCACAGGAGACTGAGGTGAAGTGGTCTTCTTGGACAGGTGGCCTTCTTGGTACTGGTCATTTAATGCTTGCGCCTATGGGGAAAATTAGGAACCAACTCTTTGTTGCTGTATCTGTGTCACACTTGATTCTGACTCCCATATTGTACACAGAACAAGACTGCACTATTCCTGATGCCATGGCTCACATCGCAGCCAGCTGTCTGGATGAATACTCTGCGAGTAAACTGGACACAGGCAGCTACGACGGCAACTGGGGTGTGGCTGTCAACTACACGAATCATGACAACAGTACTGACAACAGGACCATCCCGTCCCCATGGGACTACACGTATGGGGATATCAACAATGGTCAGTCAGTCATAATGATTGTTACGGTCTTATTGTACACTCAAGAAACAGTGTCATAGATTGACCACTCAAGATAAAGGCCATGGTAGACAGATGGCCACTATAGACAGGACCCTTAATGCTAATGAAGTTACCAGAAAAACTAAACCACCACCTACTGATGGCCCTCAATATGCAGAGGTGTTCATTAAGTATAAGTGCACTGGATGCAACATTTCATTCTGATATACATGTGTGTGTGTGCATCCGCACATTGCAGCAATTCAAAAGAAACAGTAAAGGACAGGATGTGTTGTAGTCTCATGATTGAACAAGAACAAGAATTCAGGTTTGCACACCAAATAAATTTCTTACAGTGGTTGATGATGACAAATTGGATTAATAACGCCTCAAAAAAAGGCCTTATGACACTAAAGTTTGCATTTTTTGCGCCTTTACCCTAGAATTTACATTCATTACAATCTCTTCAGGTTTCCTGTATGTTGGGGAGCACGGTGTGTACCCTAGTGGTGGTTACATCGTCACCCTGGGCAGGACGCTCAACGACAGCCTCCGGACCCTGACTGATCTTATCTCCAACGGCTGGCTGGACAACCGGACCCGAGCGGTCTTCATGGAGGCGGTTCTCTACAACCCTCACGCCAACCTCTTTGCCGTGGTTACCATGACGACCGAGTTTGACATCACCGGGCGTGCCTTCACGGCAACAGAGCTGGTGATCTTCAGGATCCATCATGAAGGCCAGGTCCTGCTGCTGGTCCTACGGATGGGCCTGATCATCTTCCTGCTCTTCAACCTCGTCAGGGAAGGTGTGTTATTATGTTTACCGAAGGAAGCATATTGTTTTTACTCAATTTCCTCTTCCTCTTCTTCCTCTCCAAACACTAACCTATGACCTGGTCAATGACATGATTTGTTGACGTCTGTAACCATGGTGACTGGTGTTGGGTTACATAATGTTGCAAACTTCATGGTCTACTCTGCTTGGTCTGTCACTATATACTAGTAGCACATGTATGTGAAGATCCTTGAGTAAAAATTAACAGGGCAGACCATGTCCGAAGGTAAACATTATGCATTTGCTTTGCACATGTTACTTCTCTAGTTGTAAATCTTTCAACACCAGGTGTTTGAGCTAAAACATTATTGTGAAGGTACTTGACTGATAATACCATTTTTTCCAATGTAGTAGTGTTATGGTACCCAGCAGTTACGAGACTCATTGTTGACGTTGACTCATGTACTGAGACACCAGTGACTGTAAAATTGCGATCATGATCATGCCTTGTGAATTGTGATGAAGTGTTACACTTGTTATTGGAATACAATTTAGAGGTGGACTTGACTGTAGCTGCATGTGGACCTTGTGTTCTAGAAAGTTTAGTACTACTGCAGCAGTAAACCAGTACAGTTACTACCACATTACTAGCTGTGCTAATTTAATGGTGTTAGCTGAGGAGACCTTTACTATATTTCATATAATATTCATGAAGTTCATGCATTTGTAGATTTGAGGGGGTGTCTTACTTCTTGTAACAGGGCAAGTAGCCCAATAACTTTGACTTTATCTTAACATGTATGTTCCTTATGTTTAAATCATTTTCCTTCACCCGCCCTTCAGCCCTGCCGTTCGACACATTCGGAATTGTTTACCTGTATCCAACCCTCAGAGCTGACATGACAAGTGTCAAATGTCTTTTGCCTAAATTAATCTCTACCAATTGTTTTTCAAACTTTCCTTTCCCCATCCAGTCCTGAAGTTTCACACATACGGAATGGTTTACCTGACGGACCCCTGGAGCTGGCTAGAGATGCTCATCATCACCACAGGCATGGCCGCCATGGGGCTGTACGCCCGCGCCCAGGGCTTGACAGACGAGGTCTCCGGGTACCTGAAGGAGGGACACGTCCTGTTCCACCTGTACCGCACAGCCGCCATGTGGCACCAGGTGTACACGTACCTGCTCGGCGCGCTCACCTGCTTCACCTTAGTCAAGTTCATCCGCCTACTCAAGTTCAACAAGCACGTCAACGCGCTCCTGTACACCATGAAGAAGACGGCGAAGCCCCTCGTCAGTTTCTTTGTCATTTCAGGCATCGTCTTCACGGCATTCGCGCTGGCAGCTAACCTCACCCTTGGCATCGCCACGTCAGGGTACAGCAGCTTGCTGCGCACGTACACCAGCCTTTTCAACATGATGCTGGGCTCGTTTCAGTTTGCAGTCTTGGAAGAGAGCTCCCCCGTCTGGGGTCCCGCCATCTTCCTGTCCTTTCAGATCACCGCGCAGTTCATCCTCCTGTCCATGTTCATGACCATCATCATGGACGTGTACATGGAAGTAAAGAGCAGCGATCCTGAGGACGTGGAAATGATGGCGTACCTGTGGGAGGAGGTGTGTGGAGTGGTACACAAGATCAAAACCATCGCAAACAGGCCTGAAACACGACAACCGGCGGCTAGGGAACACCAGTTCACCCAGCTGGACCAGATGCATGAGATGTTAAAGAAGCTGGACAGAGATGAGAAATGTAGACGAGAGAGGCGCAGAGAAGAGAGACAAATAGAAAAGAGGCAAAGGGAAGAGAGGGAGAGAATGGTCCGGTACTCTGAGGCTCCTAGCTTGTGGTTTGTGTGAAACATTGTCATATACATTTGTACTCTTAATCCAGAAAAAAAAAAGAAACCCTTATTGTTTCGGCTGACCACGCTTTGGATGTATCACAAGTGGACCAAAAGTAGTAAGATAATAAAAATATATATAAAAATCATATTTCTAATATCTATTTTCTGTCAAGGAAGCTAACCAGAAAAGCTTTTTAAAAGAATACAAGTTAAAAATATCAAGGAAGGATTAGAAATATATTCTTAAGGTTTTTAATCAAGAATACATTGTAAATTAAAACTAAATGTATCACAACCAGTCATGACAAAGTTCACCAGATATGACAAGACTGTGTCAAAACCATATATGACAAAATGTATCATAACCTGAGATATGACAATTGTATCATAACCAGATATGACAAATGTATCATAATCTGAGATATGACAAATGTATTACAGTCTGAGACAAATATATCAAAACCAGACATGACAAATGTATCAAAACCAGATATGATATATCTGATATGATATATCATAACCAACTTGACAAATATACCATGTAACCAGATATGACAAATGTATCATAAACTGAGATATGACAAATGTACCATAAACTGAGATATGACAAATGTATCATAAACTGAGTTATGACAAATGTATCATAAACTGAGATATGACAAATGTATCATAAACTGAGATATGACAAATGTATCATAAACTGAGTTATGACAAATGTATCATAAACTGAGATATGACAAATGTATCATAAACTGAGTTATGACAAATGTACCATAAACTGAGATATGACAAATGTATCATAAACTGAGATATGACAAATGTATCATAAACTGAGATATGACAAACATATCATAAACTGAAATATGACAAATGTATCATAAACTGAGATATGACAAATGTATCATAACCAGATATGACAAATATAGCCAGATATGACAAATGTATCAAAACCTGATATAACAAAAGTATCATAACCAGATGTGACAAATGTATCATCACTAAACATGTCAAATGCATCATAACTAGATATGACCAAATAATATCAGTAACACGTGTGCAACAAATGATGACACCAGATGGATTCAACGGACACAAACCAGGCTCGACTTATGGACAATGATTCACGGATCTGTAAATATGTGTGTGCATGGCCCGCTTAATTAGCTTAAACATCTAATTTAGTCAATTATCAATTGTGTGTGTGTATGAGTGTGTGTGCGTGCGTGTGTGTGTGTGTGTATGTGTATGTTTGTGTGTGTGTATGTGTGTGTGTGTGTGTGTGTGTATGTTTGTGTGTGTGTATGTGTGTGTGTGTGTGTGTGTATGTGTGTGTGTGCGCGCGCGTGTGTGTTTTTGTGTGTGTATGTGTATGTGTGTGTGTGTGTGTGTGTATGCATGTTTGTGTATTTTGTGTTTTTATATGTGTATGTATGCCTGAGTCTGCATATGTAGGTGTGTTACGGTATGTGTGCATCTGTATGTTTCAGTAACCGTTGTAATCAAGTATGACATTGTTAGAAAATGTAGTGTGTGTGTGTGTACAATGTATTATTGTCTGTTGTATGTGTGTATGTTTGTGTGTTAGTGTGCATGCGACAGTCTGCATGCATGTGTATGTGTGTGCATGTATATTTTTGTTTTTGTTCGGATCTGTGTCTACTAGGATCTAGATCTGTGTGTTTGTGTGTGTGTGAGGGGGGTTTATGAGTGCATGTGTGTGTGTCGTTGTGTGTGTGTGTGTCGTGTGTGTGTGTGTGTGTCTGTGTGTGTGCAACTATATATACTTACTGTATAATCTAAAACTGTTATGTGTATGGCATGCATCATATCAAATTCATGTTGTATGCATTGGTACATCACCAAACCACTTAACTGCTTTGCATGAAATGCGTAATAAATAAAATTGATAAAATTTCAATGGGATTTGTCATCTTTTGTGGGGACACTTTTAATATATGATAATGACCATCACTTCATGTTGGTTTCCTTGCCCATACCTTAGGCCACAGCAAGTAATTCTTATGGATGACATCAGCGTGCACATTGATTTTTTTTCATGATTTGGGGAAAAAAACAAAGAATTTTGTTTTGGCATGTTGACTGTGATCAACATGCCAAAACTGGGCGAATATGTCTGTGGATATGTTGGAACTTGGATGACAGATAGATAGATACGAGGAGAGAAGACAAGACATTAGGCTCTGATTGATTGTTTTGACTTTTCATTAACACATCAGTTTAGACACATTAAGTTCATACTGGCTTATGAAGCAGATCATGTAAGGTGTCCCAGAGTTCAAATGTCAGTTTTTGACCTGGGTACCATCTGTATTTGTTACACCGCTCCGATACCCAGGCTATTTGTTTTGTCTTCCGGATAGGCAATGCTGCTGAATACAGCAGTTGCATACTGAGTATGTAAATTAGGTCAATATTTGCATACTTAGTTTCTATTAAAGGTCCCATAATCATGAAAATACGCTGTTCCTTTTTCGAATTATCTGCTTTCAAATATTGATAATGTTCTACCGAAAGTCCCCTACAATTCTAGAACAAGCTACTATTGGGACCATAGAACTGTCCTTGGTACTGAATTATCCTTCCATGCCTCCTGTTGTACCAAAATACCATTATCCCAAGCAGCGCTATCCCATTCCCATGGCAATACATTTGCCTTGACGAATCACAAGAGTAATTTATAATTTGCTGCGGGAAAGCTCTGCATGGGAGAATGGATAATTACAAAGTTAAGATAGTTTTTTAAGTGTATGATGATTTCTAACGTGAAGGACCTCAAAGTGACTCACTTCGATGTTGTAAAATCATAGTAGGGAAATGTGAAAAACAAGTTTGATTTTGATGAAACTACAAAATGTTCAAAAGCAAGAAACAAGAAGCCATAGGTAACAATCCTCCGTGAAGTTTTATATTTTGCAACGAAATTAATCCCAAGCGTCAACGCCAGACGTACTGTGCAGACATGGCAACGGTTAATACAATGAGGGCGCGTTATAACCATAAAAAGACCTCAATCCATTACTGCTTCCAGGGCATGTAAAGATACTGTGCTTCAAGTCCGAAGTTCATTTTAATTACACACACACAATCATTGCATTCACATAAACATCGGACTATCATGGTAGTAACAAAGACAGTCCCACCGTCTTACCGTTCCTGTTATACCACTTAAATAAGGAATACTTATCATAACACGATGGTCATATTTGGGCCCAAAAGTCCCACTCCGCTACTATGGAGATCGAATCCCCCGAACCCGCGAATCTTGTTCGATATGACGTCATTCGAATAGAGCGGGCGTTCGATCTGGGGTTACCCGCGGTCATTTACAGTAAAGCCGCTACAACCGGCTACTTCAAGCCCCTTTTTATTTGGGAACCACGGAACAGGAAAAATCCACCTTTCCATAAATATGAACCGTTTTCCAAACATTACATCTATGCCGTGATTTTATTGTGGATATGTAACATGTAACGAAGCTACTGCCGTCATCGTGGGTGACCTTGAAGGTCAGAATTCTTGTTGACGCTGTTATAAATTCCAGGTCCCCATATCCAAGCGGCACAGCATGCGTGCAAACATGGTATTTTAATCATTCCCAAAAATCGCTCAAATTACCTCATTGAGGGCTTGTTTGAAAGAGGAACGATTTCCGCAGATTTCTGTCTTAGGGATTTTTTTAATATGGCCGCGATTATGAATTATCGGTATTTAAAGTTAAAACACTGCGTTTTTAGCTCTTCTTTTGACTGTAAGTCGCGTTTTAGTTAAAAAATAAAAAAATCCTAAGACAGAAAGTTTAAATTTACTGTAATATTTCTAAAAATCCAAAAATTTAACCTTATTTTTAATTTTCGGGGCCTCTTAAAATCAGTTGTTTGGTTCTCGTGAACCCTTTTTAAAATCCGAAATTGATCTCATTTGGAAGCAAATGTACACAAAGTGGAGCAAAGGCAGTGCAAGAATAACATTTGAGGTAAACAAAATCAATTATTACATTTTATTTTGACGAGTATTTACTCTCCAATTACTTTTGTTTATTTTCAAATTTTACCCGTTATCCCCGGGCCGGCCCGGGACTCCCGCGCGGCCACGTTCGAACACGTTCTGTAACCCGATACCTCCCTAGTAATGCGACTTTTAGCCTAGCAACCGACCGCCGTGTAAGCAAATAATCTCATTTTCACCTGAGCGAAGTGAGGAAAGTGGTGTAAAATGCCTTTCTCAAGGGCACAAGATCGGTGGCATGTCAACCTGGGACCTCTAGGTTCCGAGTTACGCATTCTGCCGCTACACCACACGACCCACATAACAGTTGCCCAGCAATGAACACTTGCATCACGGCCAACAATTGCTGTATCAGTACATCGGCAACTGGCCGTAATAAAAAACCCAGACAGCCATATTACCAGTTACCGCTCATGTCAACTGCATGGCAAAGGCAACAAAACTACAACAGCTAGTATATCAAACGCATGATCTGATTATGAATGAAGTTTAAACTGTAATGGCCGGATCCAACACAAGAAAATGGACTCACCCAAATTTTCGACTGTACAACTCCAGGTTTTATCAAGGAAAGCAAAATCCACCGCTTCACATGTCACAGATAACACATGTGACCCCGTGAGCAGTGGATCATAGGTTACAGAAAGTCTGTGGCGCCCCCCGTCTCTACTCACGGTAAGGCGATATACGTTAATTACACAACTACATTCAACTACTGGTAGTTAGAGAGCATTTCATATAAATACCTTTTTCAAGGTGGTGGACTTTAAGTGCCCATCGGCACGGAAGCGAAGTCCGACCGTGGAAAGAAACGGTACCACCCGTAGCCTCGCCAAGGCAAGGCGTAATACGCTTTCTACACAACTTCTACTCTCCAAGCAGACTCCGAGGGGTTTGGGGTTATTTTGGGCATGTTTTAGGCTTTTTTATCAGGGTTTCTCTTTTGCACTGGAATTTTTTCCCCCAACCCTAAGTGTGCAAAAGAGA